GATCAAACTTCGTGAGTTGACCAGAAAGTTTCCTGCTTTCTCCTTAAAAAAGCACTAAAAACCCAAACAATATTCCACCAGTGTTTTGGTCAGAGATGTATAATGGGAACTATGAAGCAGGTTGTAGCCTACAAAAGCTTATACCTCTGTGAATGAGTTAGTTTGCCTTGCCTTCTGCCAAACTTCAGACTACACAACTACCAACCTTTCTCTACACGTCGAACATTGATGGATAAAATCCATTCAAAACTGCACTGACTTGTCTGTAACCAGAATGTACTACAAAACAATCTACTGCCAACTATTATATCTATGTTCCTGTACTCATTACTGTCACCTAGTTTTAGCCAACAACTTGCCATTCACTAGTTTTAGGTGTCTGCGTGCAAAAGACTTGGCTAAGTAAACAAGACCACATAATGTTACACAAAAACCTTTCTCCGTTTTGCAGCCATTTGGTTTGTATGTTTGGCAATCTGAGGATGCAGTAAGTACATACATACTAGGGCTGTGTGAAGTTTTGGTAGCCAATTCGATTTAGAAGAGATTTGGCCTGATTCAGCAGCTGAATCTCTGAATCTGAATCCAATCAGGAGACCAATTAAAAGGTCCGAATTGAATCAGAAGCCTCCAAATTGATTCGGAAAAGATTCAGGGATTCGGCCGTAGACTAAACAGGCAGCAGTCCTCAAAGATGCTGGACACAAATGCCTCCAGCTGGTAATTTTGCAGGGGTTTAGGTTGTAGCCGTGTTGGTCTAAGGACATAAGCAGACAAGGTTCCTTGGGTGAATATGATATCTTTTATTAGACCAATTATTGGTCTAATAAAAGATATCATATTCACCCAAGGAACCTTGTCCAGCTGGTAAGTCTGTTATGGTGGGTGGAGGGGGAAGGGAAGGGGCATGGGGGGGACGGGGGTGCAGATCAATGCCCCCACAGTGAGGGAGGGATTGGGGCTGCAGCTGGGACAAGCTGCCCAGCCGGGCGGCTAAATCCGAATCCAAAGCGAATACCTGCTGCTTTGCACAGGCCAATTACATACAAAGAATGGAACTCCATGACATCAGTTGCACTGGATAACCATTTCAGTGCCATGTTCTAGGCAAAATACACATACACAAGAGGGGTAAATCCATATTAAAGCAAGGCATAATAGTTGAGACTATCCCACTAAGTACATCCTACAGTCAAAGCTGTGCATATCATGAACAATTAAAAAAAACAAAGGACATTGTAATCATGCATTTGACGTGGCTATTTAGGGGAATCCTTGGGTAAGGGGGTTGCCTACAAATGCAGAGGACTGGAGCAGATGGCACAGGAAGCCTCTTCCACTTCTATGTTCCAACTTTGGAATGAATGATTTATTCAACACATTTAGCTCTTAACTGTACTTGGTAGGTAAGTCAGTGCAGTTTCTGTTCCAAGTGGATGTGAGGATACAAACATTTCTGGTACAAATGATTCAAAATGCAAAATCAAAATTTGTTTCCTGTCAGCAGTTATGCAAGCAACCTTGAACATCACTTTCGACAATGCCAGTACAGGTCACATTTGTACAAAGCCAACAGAGAAAGAATCATGGTCACAGGCAGTGCAAAGCTGTTCAAAATCCCAACTTAACATTCATGAAACTTTTCTTCTCCACCCAGTTCTATAAAGAACTAAATTAGTCTTACAAAGATCCGGTGGAAAATTCTGTCTGTGGTCTGTAGAAAGGATAAAACTTTAGGTGTGAAGAAAGAGAATGGAAAGAAATATTTAAAATTAAGGTCCATCTATTCCCCCCTTCAAATAACATTCACAACGTCATACATAGCAAGGTGGGTTTAAGATGTTCTCTCAGCAATGTGCATTTAAATATCTGTGTTGTATAGAAACCAGGCATCAATATATCTGAAAAGAGGTTAATCTTGTGAAGGGCAAATATCTTTGAATAGGACAGAGTAGGTGGACTAGCTCCTTTCCTCCATTCTTATTTTATTTTACTTGATTTCCTTCTATATTGGTTAAAAAAAAGGGGGGGGGGATTCAAACCAGCTTCTTTGATTTCATAATTTTTTCTGAACACATTATCTTTAGCACAACTACCACATGCTGCTTCAGACTGCATATCAAAGAAGGCTGCATGTATGACTGTTGCATGAACTGAAGGCCTAATGTACATGATAAAACACTAGCAAATACTGAGTTTTGATATTGCTTTTTCCTAATCTTCTGTACAGAAATTTAAGATTGGTACCATAGCAACAGCCTAGTCAAAGTTTCATTCCACAGAGAACCAGTTCAAGCTGTAGGAGAGAAAATATTTAAACTGATATACTTAATCAATTTCCTTTCTAACCAAGTTTGTTTCCCATGTGACATTCTTATTCTGTAATTTCATTGACAACTCGTTTATAAATTCACTAGGTTTTGTTTTTCCCTACCTCTGTTCCTCTACTTTTAAGCAATTTTGAATACACCAAAACCCTTCCCTTGAAGCTAGAATAATTATCAATTAAAAAAAGCCTAATTAATTTAGCATGTTTAATTTTCAAACTATTTGCCCAACATCCTTTTGGAAGCAGAATAGTACTTATTACTCAGTACCATAAGCAATGTCACAAGTTACCAGGATCCCCAGAGCTTCAAAAGATTTAAAAAAAAGATTTCTATGCATATGAATAGCCAGTTTTTATTATGTTGTTATACTGTATTAAAATTATTATAATAACCAAACATTTTGGGAGGGCTATAAACCATCATGTCTTGGGGGCACGTTATTCTGCAAATGCTATGAGCAGAGCTTCTTGTGCCTTCTTCTAAAGCAACTGGCACTGAACCACTGTGGTAGGCAGCAGGATGGACTAGATCAGTGGGTTCCAACTGGGGTCAACACACTATGTCTAAGGGGTCTGGCAAAAGATGATTCTGATCAATCAAAAGTATGTGAATACCCACACTTAAAATTCAAAGAGTCTGCACCTCCATTCTAAAGTTTTTAGGGGTCCACAAACAAAAAAAAGTTGAAAACCAGTAGACTAGATAGACCACAAGTCTGACTTGGAACTGCTATTGCTGTTTCTAGGGATTACCCAGTTCGAAGAACACAGTTAAAGAAAAGCTTAACAGTAAGGCAGCCTGCTGAAAGCCAAACAAGTCATAACCAGAACCAGGAACTGAACTAAGTCCTAGACACGTTGCACCAGGGGTTATAGTTATCAAGCTAACTGCACCTCTGACCAATTCAGATCTGACTGCTTCCCCTACTCAAATCTCAGGCTTTGAACTCGGGCCTGTTTCAGGTATGAATCATGATCCCCCCACTCTCTCAGGAAGGGTCCCAGAGTACTAACCTTAGATACTTCTGCAGGTCTGACTTAAGATCAGCTCCTGCAGGCTGTTGACAGACACTCTCTTCCTCCTGGGATGTATGACTAGACTAGACAGCCTTCTTAAAGCAGAGTGTTGCTTATATAAAAGAAAGGCATTTTAGGAGACAACTTTAGAAAATATAAGTGCCTGGTTTACTTAAGACCAAGCTGCCTTGGAAATCTGGGAAAGGTCCACTACTATTTTAGATACTCCCACTAGACCTTTCTGTGCCCATCCTAGCCCATTTTCCCCTCAGCACAGTTCACTGACATCTCTTCAGAATCCTCTTATCTGCTTAGCATCCCTTTCATTTCTCTGGACTTGCAGCCTTGGTAAAACAGCCGTGTAACTATGGCCAGGGCTCTGGAAATAGCACCTTTACCTCGCACCACACCCCAAGCCATTTGTTGGAAGTCTGTTTGTCTACAACTACTGGATTGCCTCCCTCCTTGTTTTTCAATTAAGTTAAACCAACACCTTTCTATAGGAAAGCCCAGCACCACATTATAGCTATACAAAAAAGTGACTCACTAAAAGGCTACGTATAATTCTAAAAAGATTACAGCTCAACACTCCTAGACTATATAACGGTTTCAAGTCTGCCATGCTGTGTTCTTTCTTATAGACTAAAAGGCCCTCAACCTGCACTATTTGCTGCACTTAGTCCCCACAGAAACGTAGCTGAGTGCTGGTGCACTTGTGTGGGTGCGCACTTCGTTAATGTTTGTTTCAATTAAGATTTAGTCAGACATATTAATGGCAAAAGATGAAGAAAAGGACAACTATTATACCATGTATGCATTAAGATGCTTTGGAAAAAGCATGGCTTGCTAGTTAAACCCAGATGTAGTCTAGGTGAAAGCCAAAGCCCATCACCTGATATGTTTGGAGACCTACATGAGCAGGTCTCAGATATAAAAGCAATGATTCTTCAGCAGCACTCAGAAGCATCCTTCCTACTTTCTTTTCCTTACAACTGCATTTCCATTTTGCTAAACTTTGTATAGTCACAAGATTTCCAAACCAGGGAAAAAGAAACCTGACTACTCTGTGCTAAACAGGATGGGATGAATTTATTATGTTATTTGTTCAATAATTTAAAAATCAGAGAGTATTAATCTGCTTGATATTATTTCACCTTTCATAACTCTAACAAAAGTAGAGGGCATAATAATTTTCATAAAAATTTAATGAGGTGGTTTCCAGCCTTCCTCTCCCACTTAGTTCCTCCTGTATCTATCTACATCATGGTCTCTGCATAGATTTCTACAGAGCCTGCCAAAAGAACAGGCTTGCAAACATCACAATATGTTAAATATTATGCCTTTCCCTGCCCCCCCAATCCGAGACATCACATCCACCTACTGTCTTGCCGTAGCCTTAAATCAGGCCCTCTGCATGTAGCAATTTCAGTATTCCAGAAATTGTGGCCAAGTCAAAAAAACCCTTAAATGGATTTCACTTGAGCATCCCGCTATTACACAAGATTCTCAGGTGCTTTAAGCAGGACCTACTTAAGGGCAGTGTATCATTAAGAAGTGGATTCCTAAACATTCCAGGCCCTACACACGTTTGCAGGGATAGTTCTTCCTTTTGTTTTCTGGGAACGAACAAACATTTCATTTTATTATTACTTGCCTCAATTTTGTCCGTTTTTGCATCTCCCCAGTAGAGTTTGTCTTCTTCAAGATCCAGTGCCAAGCCATTGGGCCAGCCTAGGGAAGTGTTTACCAGGACCCTCCTCTCTGAGCCATCCAGATAAGCGCACTCAATCTTTGGACTTTCACCCCAGTCTGTCCAGTACATGTAGCTGTAGGGGGAAAAAACCAAACAAACCCAACAACAACAGTAAGAACAAATAAATACATATTTATGTTACAGTATGTTACTGATGTTCAACTTGGGGTTAGTAGCCTGCTGGAGAACTCTCCCCTGGTAGTCTCATGGGGCAGTAATTGGACTAAAAACTCCACTGGCAGTCAGTTAATGATAATAATCTAAGGATTGAGCCTTAAAAAGCAGTTATCCAGCATGGGCAGTGGCACCATTCTTTACTATTTTTGATAACATTAAGGATAAAGAATAGTAAGGCCCAAAAGGCTACATAAAACTTATTAGATGCAAGCATGCAATATACTGATTTTGACAGAAGACAAGGAGTGAAAATCATGATCTCTGACAAAGAGCATATCCATCAACTACTAATTAGTTGTAATTCAGACAGGGCTTAGAAAAGATCCACCACAGGGCAATAAAACAAAATAAAACAAGAACTCCTCACCCCATCACAGGATTCAGCACTATTGCCCTGGGTTCATCTAGATTTTCAGATATCAGGATCTTTCTGGATGTCCCATTCAATCGAGTCACTTCAATGCGATCTGTTCCTGTGTCAGTCCAATACAGGTTCCTAGCCACCCAATCCACTGCTATGCCATCAGGGTGGTTGATTTCTGTGGTCACTAGGGTCTGTGCTCCAGAGCCATCGAGGTAGGCCCGACGAATCGCCCTGACATCGTCATCAGTCCAATATATATATCCTTCAACAGGATCGTAATCTATTGCAATTGCATGCCTGATATTATCTATTTGTAGAATGATATCAGTGAAATCTGGCATGTCCAAGGAGATTCTTCGCAAATCTGTCCTTCTTGCAAGCAATAAGACTTCCTCAGCACCTGGAAGAAAGCACTGCCCATGTCATTTTTCACCTGTAGTGAGAGTTCCTTCACCTGTCACAAGTACATTTTAACCCCATTAAGAATTACTGCACAGAAAGCAACACATTACCAGCATCAAACTAACAGATATCACCTAACATCAGGAACACCCACATTTTGGTCAAGTAAAGGGGTTTGTATTAGACATGGAAGTTATTTTGGAACAGCTATTTCTGCTTAACACCTTGTGCAGTTGTTGTGATCTCAAAACAGAAGTACCTTACTGCATATCAGTTCAACGCATTGAATTAACTTGGGTAAGTCACACTTATTTAAAATGCGAGTGTTCACAAAGAGCGTTAATCAGGAAGAGCTCCTCATATTTTGGAGTCACAATTTACCTTAATTCAAGTTAATTTCTCTGTACAAACAAGCCGTAGGGGGCCATATTAGCCCTTTGCCAGAACACCTAAACACCACACCTAAGTTGCTTCATGCTTAAGACAGCGGTGAAGCCTCCAGATCTTACAGGTCCTACTATCCATCTTGACCCACAAACCCCAATCTGTATTTCCACATTAAAGGCTATGTGCTGTACTCAAGAACCATGTAAGCCACATTATGACGACTTCTGCCACATGGGCAAAATTATACTGCACAGACTGCTGCACTCTCCCTCCTACCTAGGATGGATTTCTACACTAATGCACATGGAACAATCTTTGAAAGGCAGTCACTTGCAGCAAACCCTTAAAAAAAAAAGGGGGGGGGGGCATTCAGACCAACAAAATGAAAGTTTTAATTGGAAATTGCTTTATTAACTGTCAGGAAAGGAACAGCACAGAGGATGGAAAGATTTATATTAAACCAGGTTAACATGAGGATGAGATTCCCTTTGCTAGCACATACCAAAAAAAATTTGGTGGGTATGTGTCTAGACATTTCATCATATTACGCACAATTTCCAACTGAGCCAACCTTCTGTAGCTGAATGAGTGCATTAGATATGGTTTTCACATGCTACATATTACACAAGAAACAACAGGAGAAACATAAGCCATAAGATTTCCTAAACAAATTACATTAATGCTTTGTTTCAGACAGCCAAAAGGGAGAGCAAGTCACAACTACTGCAAGCATGCCTTATCTGCCTGAAGCTGACATACATCTGACTTTTTAAGACAACATGTTTACTTTTTTATGCAATGTCTTATTGTTGGTGAAAAGGCTGCCAAACTAAATACCCTGAAGAGTGTTCTATGGGCAAATGGAGAAATTCAGACTCCTATGTTGTTGTTTGGTAAATTCTTCACCAACAATAAAACTTTTCACATAAAATAATAAGCCTGTTGCCTAACAAGTTAGACTTCCGCCACAGTGCCACAACAATAAACATGCTCTAAAGAGAATTTCTAGAAGTGAGAGTCTAGTTCCTCTCCTATAACCAACTAAAAGATTAAGGCAGGGGTAGGCAACCCCAGGCACACGTGCCAGAGTGTGGCATACAAAGGTATTTTGCTTGGCATGCATACCCGGGGCAGGGCAGCTGCGAGAGGCCTGATCCTTGTGGCAGCGCAGCTCCAGCTCCTTCCCTGCCATCTACAACTAGCTGGGCCAGGGGTCTGTGGACCCTGGTGCAGCTGCTTGCAGCCGCCCTTCCACCTGAGCATGGGACTGCCCAGAGCTTGGGCTGGCTGTGGCAGGCAGCCAGGAGGTTGCAAGCGGCTGCACAGGGGCCCAGAGTGCCCTGGCTCAGCTTGTTGCTGGCAGCGCATGCATGTGCACCTTGGGGTGGACAGGAAGGAAAGGGTGGGGGCTGCACTACCAGAACAAAGATCAGGCCCCTTGTGGCTCCCCCAGTCATCTGCCCCTGGCACACCAATATCTTACAAGTCAAGGTTGTGGGTGTTTTTGGCACTATACCAAAAACACTGTCAACCCCTGGCTTAAGGCCTCTATTGAGAATGCAAACTGTGGTGGTGATGGGTTTTCACTAATTAACTGAAATGTACTGAAACTGTCTATTCCATTTCACGCAGCCAACCAAAAAACTGTCATTGCCTTATTCTTACACTTCTTATTATATATTGACAATGTCCAGTCAGCCCCAGCCTAAACTGGGCAAAAAGTGGTAATCTTACAGACAAATCCTTTGAGTCATCCCAGTTCCTTTCAAGAAACTGCTTTGAATTCCCAACACTATATTCTTCTCAGAAATGGTTCTCCCTGGGTACGAGGCAAGCCTGCAAAAGTGCACGTGTTTAGAAGTACCTGTTACATGGCAAAGCCAAATTCATATTCATCTCATATTCCTGCCTAGCTATCACTTGTTTTGGCCTTGGATAAACTTGATTTAGTCCCCAAATGCCTCAAGCAGTCAGGGACAGAAACACCAAAGAGAAACTACTTCAGGCTGGGGGTGAGTCAGATGATTTTGGGAGGAGAGGGGAGGGGTAGGCAAAAGGAAAGATCAGTCTCCACAGCTGGTCTGTTAAGACCTCCTTAACAAACCAGTCTCCACAGCACTCGGTGTTGCACTGATAGGCTTTGAAGGAAGGTCTAGGCTGGAGAAAGGCCACAACATGAACATGAGGTTGGGAGCGCTAGAGGGGAGACTAACATTAAGTTGTAGACGGCTGTTTCTACCCAAACTAAAGAGAAAATTTGCCATCCAATCTCCTGAACATGCATTTTGTTGACTTTAAAGGCTGCTAAGCAAATTCAAATATTTAATTAAAACATATGGCTGAAGTGTGTTGGAAGCCAGTGATCATTTAGCAGGACACAAAAAGAAGCCACTTATTGATAAGACTGAGGGAACAGCAGCACTCAGTGACCGGATGCCTTCAAGGGCTTTTTTAACACGGCAAGTAGGAGTAAGGTTTTTCTTTTTTAAGTTTTCCTTCACTAACGGAACAATATGAACCCATGATCATTAAATGGTATTGCTGGCACAGGACACAGATATTCATTCTTAAATGATTGACAAATCTCCTGGAAAGAGAACCTTTGTTAAAATAAATACTGAAATATCCCAACGGTTATTTGATATTTTAAGCTATGCTTAAAATGTTGGACTGTGCTAAACATCTCGAGAGAAAACATATCAGCAAAATACAGACACTGGTGGATGGAATTCAAAAACAGTTGGTCAAATTGATAGTTTGTGCCTCCTGTTCTACTGTACCTCTCATGTCGTGCATGAAGACAAGTCATCTTTTAAATGTTAACCCCATGCAACAGAATCAAACCCCATCAAAGGACTCAATGTCAAATAGTTTGCATCTCATACTTCGGTGGCATACTTAAAAAAATATTACTTTACTAAGCAAAGGCCTCTCAATCATACTGCATCTTTAAAAAGCTACTTTGACAACAGAAACATAAAAAGAAAGATTCAAAGTTTATAGTTTTGTTCTGTGTAGCAAGGATTAGCCCAAAAACATTAGCCTGTGAGCTATCCTGACATCTCTGTGTTGGATTAGAGAAGAGGTCAACAAAACAGTTGTGTTTGTTTTACCAATATGAAGTATTTCAATATTAAACAGAAATGGAAGAACTTCAAAACTGCAAAAGGATCATATTTGCAATTGCCTTGGATGGCAAAACTTAAATCTTGCATGGTGTTCTTTCAAAATTGAATTTGTACAGACAAGATGATTTTCCTGTAATCATCTTTTATTAATTATTGTTACTACAACAACACCTAGAGGGCCCAACAGATACCAAGCCCCAGTGTTCTGTGTTGTATACACATGAAATATAAGAAAATCCCTGTCTCAAGGTTTTTAAATCAGTGATTTTCAACTAGGGCATCATGATATCCTTTTAAGGGTGATGAACAATATCTAGCACAGTTAGGTGTGCAAACACCTACACAGGATTCACAAGAAAAATCCAAGATTTTCAAATAGGAATCCACAGTGTCAAAAACATTCTGACCTGCTGTGGTCTTTCTGAGTTCTTTGCAACAGAAAAAATGTTCTATTATTGTTCTGTAGTCAAGAAATGAGTGAAAGCTGAGAGCTGGCATTTTCCAAGGGTTGCCTTGAGTCTTTAAGAACCACTGGTCTACACAGACAAGAGAGGTGGGAAGGGAAAGTCTCCACCTGATAATGACAGAGCTGGGAATGGAATTTGGGTCTCTCAAGTCCCAGGTGGTAACTGAAATAGGTTTTCCTGGCCCTATCTTTCAGATTTCCAGTAGATTTTACTCGAGAAAGTTCTCAAAAGTCAAATTTTAAATAAATAAATAAATAAAAAGACAATGAGCTACAGCCTAAAGCAAGCAAAACTTCAGTGGTGATGGCAGAAAGAGGGCATCTGAATAACAGACAGCTCACAGCCCACTGTAATATAGAACAACAAACTGGAACAGGAGATAGAAGGGAACAGGCAACAATACCACAGGTATATGGTTTTGCTTACGTGACGAATGAAATCAAAAACATATTTAACTTCTTCATTCAAAGCAATGACTACAAATATCTGACTTGTATGGAAGCAATGCTCAATACCATCTTCAGTGGAATTTACGTAATAAACATTCAGGTTAAAACCTCAACGCAATTATTACAAAATATTTAAAAAAATAATTTGGTTATAAGAATACTGAACATGAAGCTTAACTGACTCAAAAATGTAGGAGAGGATGAGCATTACTGCAACAGCACACATCAGCTACTGTCACACACAGCCCTCAAAAATTCACATCCATCTCACCATTTCATTTTCAATTATATTAGTGCATCTATAATCACCGTGATCTGCTTAAATAATATTAAAATACATTTAATAGAAAACGAAGGGGCAGTGAATAAGCATTTAACAACTGATAACATATATAGGAGTATTAGAAAGTTTTTTGTTTTTTTTAAAGTATCTGGGGATCATTGTAAATGGAAGTGTTGCCTCTTCATACAACTGACTGCATTTTCTCCTCAGTTCTCTTATCTCTGATTTTATTTTTCTCTCTCATCACAATGAACTAGGTCAAGGCTGAATGAGCTTGATGCAAG